AAGCAGGCTTCCCGTGGAGCAGGGAGCCCGATGCGGGGCTCGATCCCAGGACCCTGGGATCATGACCTGAGCAGAAGGCAGATGCTTAACCGACTGAGCCACCCAGGCGCCCCCACAAAGGTACTTTCTTACCCTGATCTACAAATATTTACATTCTCCATCTACATGGTAGTAGGAACAAGACTGGAATATTTGGGCTCTATTTCAATCAAACAATCTCAGGATCTAGGACAGAAAAAAATACAATTGATAATAATACTAGTAGCATACCCTGAGCACTAGAAACACAGGTTTACACAATTAACCCATCAGAGGAAGGTGTGCTGAATGTAAGCTGATTGGTAAGAAAAAGCTCTCTGAGGGTTGGACTTGAGCAGTCGTCACGATGGCAAGACAGATGCCAACTAAGTGTCCTGGGGGTGGGAGATGGTCTTTGAGGAGCTCTCTGTGTGGTAGTTCACTTATCTTCAAATCTCCACTCAAAGGACACCCCCTCCCCAGAAAGGCCTTCCCTGACCTCCACATGGAAGTGGGGAGGCCTCCAGCGGATTAAACACCCGCCCCCCCATCTGTGATCTCTGACCAGCTTGCTGGACGGCTCTTGCTCCTACCCGTCTTCCCACTGGAAGGTGCTCTCCACAAGGGAAGAGACTAGGTCTGTCCTGCCCACTGCGGCAGCCCCAGTCCCTAGCCAGCATTAGGCCACAGCACAGTCATCAGACTCTGCTGAGTGACTAAGAGCCAGCAATTCCAGTGGAGGGCAGAGCAGAATCTAATCAGAAAGGACTAGAAAACAGGGAGCAGAGAGAACAAGAACACAGACCAACCTTTCTGTAAGTTCAAAGGAACAATAGAGCCAAGGAAAATATGCTGATGTTTTCCCTCAGACAGAAGAAAAACAGTGGTATTTAAACAGGGCCCTGAAAACAAGAATTATGATGTGGGTATAAGTGGAAAAGAGAAAGAGGAAACATCTGAAAAGAGAGTCAGTGTGAGCCACTCTGAAGGGTCAGAGGGAGCACAACAAGCTTCGGGACAGCCAGGCCTGCCTGCAACAAAAGACACAGTCTGGGGGAGAGCGAGAGGGAAAGCCAGGTAGAAAGGGATAATGCAAGACTGCAGAGGGCCCTGAGAAGAATTCGGTTTATGTTCCATAACCAATACATGTCTGATGTTGTTGTTACCACCTCAGAGGCAAAAATTTTAAGAATTAAAGCAATAACGAGGTTATTCAAAGGGAGAAGTGTCAGGATTCATCGTGACTTTGGTAGAAAATCTGGTAGGACGCTTGTGTCATGATAAATTTTCCTCTCCTCTCCTTTTCATACTCCACACAATGTAATATGAAAACCTTCTCATTGAAGAGAATGAATGCTGACATTGGGCTTTTTCTCACAGACAAGCAGTAGGAGCTCCAGGCTGACCACACACATCACTCCTGATCATGCATGACATACAGGTCTGATGTAAACCCTGTCTATTCCTCATGGTTCACTTGCTGGAAAAGGCAAGGGAAGAAACAAATGTTATAAAAGAAAAAGCCACCATGCAGTCATTTAACATAGAACTAGAGAGTAAAAGACCTGTCCACTCTTGAGCAAAAGACACACAGTACCTGAACGAAAAATAGCACAATAATGAGCATTACGCATCATTGGTACTCACCCAAGCAGTAAGTATAAGCGTCTCACCTTCAGTTCCAAAAGAAAACACTCTAATATTAGATCTTCTCTAATGAATTATCAGACTTTGTTTTCAACTTTATATGTTCTTAGATCTCTATTTTTTCCTAACCTTAATCTACTATTGCTATGTTTTTAAAGAGATTATAAATTATATTTTAGAGTTACCTACTTAAGCATTTATGTCCTCTTGCTTGCTTTGTCCTTGCTTTGCTATGTCCTATTACAACGTGCTTAAATATATAAATTTAACTACTATTTAAAAAGAGAAACAGGGGCGCCTGGGTGGCTCAGTCGTTAAGCGTCTGCCTTTGCCTCAGGTCATGATCCCAGGTTCTGGGATCGAGCCCCGCATCGGGCTCCCTGCTCCGCGGGAAGCCTGCTTCTCCTTCTTCCACTCTCCCTGCTTGTGTTCCTGCTCTCGCTATCTCTCTCTCTGTCAAATAAATAAATAAAAAATAAAAATAAATAAAAAGAGAAACAGAATGTGTACAAAAAATAACCTTTACTAAATATTTCACATGATGGATATCAGCATTCTTTGCCTACTTTGCTCAATCATAACAAATTTTCTCAAAATGGGTACTTTGCAAATCGTCAAGACTGATCCGTTTTTCCTGCTTTCATTGGAGGGGACAGTGACCTGGCTTCTAGATGGCCTGAAAGTTAAGCTGAAGAATAAAGGCAGTGTGGTTATTTTTAGAGCTCTACAGGCATAAAAATACAGCACTAAACTGTGACCTACAGCTATGCATAGCAGAGCATCGCACCATGCGACAGTCTTCACCGTAGCTGGGAGCACATCCGTGGTGCCTCACACTATTGTTCTCATTTCATTACCAAAGATAAGTCTGAGTGCATTTAGGACCAGAGCCCACTGCTGCCGGCATCTTTTTCAAATAGACTGAGCTACATTAAAAAGGTAGACCATTATATAATTTGTGAAGAATGAATGGTAAGTTATTTTTGTCATTTCTTCTAGCTTCCTTACAAGGTGAATTAATGAGCAGTCTCCCTAAATGAAGACATCACAACCTCATTCCTAACATAGAAACTTATTTATTTCAAATACAGTTTCAGTGGGTAAATAAGGAGGCTCATTCCTTCCAACAGGGGATACATCCAGGAGAACAACATATGCCTGAGTAAAACACAGCTTCATCACTAATTCAAGCAAGCTCTTTGGCAACACCACCACATCGGATCCACCAGCTTACCAGGTATGCTTTAAACCTTTTCTGCACAAAACTTAAGTCAAAAGTGTGTTTATAGATAGCACTTCTTATACGTTAATATTGTAAAGCCTCCTAAGAACTTTTTATAGCCAAGTGTCAGTGTTAATTTTCAGAGAATGTTCAGTCTGGTGATTATCTCTTTGTATATTTCATTTCTGCTTAGCTACATAAACGTATTTTCAAAGCTTGGTTTTTGGTACTGACCTAGTTAGAAATGGAAAAGCTTTAATCCATGTTCTAATCTTATTCTGACCTGCTTATCTAACCAGTGAAAAACTCATGCACTTTTCTGGCAAATTTATTACAAAGAAACAGATATTGCTCATCAGAACCACAACATTTTATGCAAATAAATAAGTGAGAATATTTCCATAGGCTAAAAATGCCACTTTTTGGCTGGATGAAATGGCCAAAATATGATTCCTACAAACCTACACACTATCCTGGCTCCGACGTAGTGACAAAGACTCTGCTTCGGGAATTAAAGTGGCATCTGAAGGAGCGAGAGAGATTAATACAAGAGATCGAAAATGAACAAAGAGTTAAAAAAACAGGTGTGGATTACAACTGGCTGAGAAACTACCAGAATCCCCACACGACCATCCCAGCTACTGAACAAAGACAACTTGAAGTCCTTTGCTCACAAGTTCAGCCTTGTCAAACTGGAACTATTCTCAGCAGGTAAAAATACTATGTTCTCTTTTGTGATATTTTGCTACTGTCAAGTCTAAGTTCCTCATACATCTAGACTGGAAATTGTATTCTATCATGTAAATTCTTTAATCATGTGTATCAAAAACCTGGCAACCAAAATCCCCAAGGATAGACTGGACAAAAATATCCATTGACATCTTACTGGCTAGGAAATATTTTTAAACCATATTCAGAATTTCTTTACTAAGAAGCTTAATTTTAAAGGAATGAGCAGATTACTCAAAAAGGTGAGCGACTACTATAGGATCACGTTATTTAAGCTGTACTTTGGAGATGAACAGGTATGATGACAAAAGAAAGTTTCTGAACTGAATGATTACTGGTTTCCCTGCAGATTTCGAGAAGTTTTAGCAGAAAATGATGTACTGCCATGGGAAATAGTCTACATCTTCAAGCAAGTTCTGAAAGACTTCCTAAACAGTACTAACAAAGGTAACCAGCAAGAAGGCCCGGAAGAGTCAGGGAACACAGACTGTCCTGTTCCTTCTGTGATCCTGGGCACAAGCTCCAGGGGTTCCAATAAAGACGAAATACCCACGATTTCTAGTTACGTGGACAAAACCACAAAGAACAGGTTCCCAGCATTCTCGCATAGAATATGGAACCTACCATATTATTACCCATCAAGTTAAGTCACCTGTAACCAGAGAAGTTTTTATGGCCATCTTTAGAAGCAGAACTCTTAACATTAAGAATACAAAAAAGTAATGTGATTTCGTGTTTCTCTGTTGCAAAGTCAGATGTTAAGTAGTTTTTAACTATGCATCCTATGTTTCAAATAGTGTTCCTTTTTTATCCGCTCTAAAAATGCAATGTTTTATTGAACTGTATACTTTTAACTAAAATGATTCCTAAAGACTTTGAAAAACACATTTGAAGTATTTTCTTAGACTTCAAACACATCTCACAGGAACAAGTATGGAACTGGACAAATTCTGTGTGAAAATTAGACATTAACCTTGACTTTTATTCCGAAAGGAAGCTATGTATAGAATAAAATAAATGATTGATGTGAATCTTGCTTTTACAATATAACACAGAACTGACTCCAGCTCAGTCATTCTCAGTGGGGAAGGGGAAGATGGGCAGTGACAGAGAAAACAATGTGCAGTTTAAAGACTAAGTAGTGCTTTACTTCAACATTCAAAGTTATTAATAATTACAACACTTTTAATCTCAATTAACACAAGGGGAAAGTAAAAAATATAGAGCTATATTGTATCATTAAAAAGAAACAGGCTGGGTTCATTGAAAATAACAAATATTCTGGGGCCCCTGGGTGGCTTAGTCAGTTAAGCCTCCAACTCTTGATTTCGGCTCAGGTCATGATCTCAGGGTCGTGGGATCGAGCCCCAGGTTGGGCTCCCTGCCGAGCACGGATCCTGCTTAAGATTCTCTCTCTCCCTCTGCCCCTCCAGTCCTCTCTAAAAATATAGCAAATATTCAATATACAAAATTCAATATTTCATAATTTCATTAAAGTAGAAAACTAATCACTGGATTTTTTTTTATAAAGTCCTAGGATCTTTATCATCTTAAAAGTAAGTCCAAGGAACCTAATGTTTACTTTATATTTAGAGATTTGCTGTTTCTTCCCCATCTAAGAAGAAAAATATTGAAGACTAGAACTCAATATCCACTCCAAAAAAAACCCCTTCTGAATTGTTTTTTCCTGGACTCTTGGCCAACATCTACAGTATTCTGCACGAGCCTCAATTTGGTCTTTAATCCTGTGTCATAAATGGTGTCAGCCTGACCAGGGTTTAATAAGACGAGTGGAAACAGCCCTAAGCGGATCTAAAATAGACACCTCTCTTTCCTGTTCCCTTTTGATGGTTTTCACGAGCTAACTATTTATGACGCCTTAATCACTATAAAAGTCTTCGAGTGGAAACTGTGGGAGAGCTAAGTATCCCCAGAAGTGCATAACTGATTGTCCAGTGAATACATTAGAAATAGAGTTTTAATATTATTGCCTCAATGGTGGTAACAAAATTTCTGTTTTAAACAACATGGACTTTGTCTATGAAGCGCAGCACCAGAACTGGCCACCTCACCACGTGGGTTATAGGAAAAACACACCAGAAAGAGGCCCCAGACACTCCACTCTCTCCACAAGGCATCTCCATCAGCCACCGCACAAAAGAAATGACCAAGCCCGCCACACTTCTGAGAGGTGCCATGCTCCCTGTCCAGACAGGGAGAAGAGGGTTTTCTCAAGTGCCCCTGTCCAAAGCTTCCTGCAACTGAAGAAGCTGCAGACAGTTAGGTGACCCACTAGTCAAGGAGGAACATGAACCCCACGCTGCTCTAAGCCACCCATGACGCAATCAATTCCACAACCAGACTTTAAAGGGGAGTGGAAGAAATACACTGCATTTTGGTACGCAAAGTCTCCATCTCTCACTTTGCTTTGGCAATAACCTAATAACCACATTTCCAGTGAGAGCATTGGTGTATGTAATTTAAAGCTATAGTTGTTCCTAGAAAATCTACAAATCAAATAGAAATTTTAACACAAATAACTTCCTAAATATTAACAGATCCTGCTTCTATACTTTGGGCTGCTTATAGTACCTAAAGTTGGGAGGAAGATGAACCTCAAAAACATAACGGGGGTGCAGATGGGGGAGAAGAATACCAGGAAAGCTTCAGGCATGTTTTATAAAGAGAGAGTATTGACACAGTGACTAAAAGCTTTAGCTAGGAAATAGTGAGGTGTAAATACATTAATCCACATAAAAGTACTCTGCATATGTGACACATCATAAGCTCTCAAGAGTTAGCATTATCAACCAGCCCAATCCATTTAACAGTGTTAAAGTCATTCTTCCACATGCCAGACACTGTGTGAAGCACTGCATATATACTCTCATTCAATCCTTTCCTCGAAAGTAGGTAATATTAGTCCCACTTGGCAGACGAACAAACAGCCTTGGACACGTTCAATGGCTTGCCCAGTATCAGGGAACAATAGGGTGGGGATTCATGTCACTCTGTCAGGCCCCTGCACCCCTCCAGCCTCGACCTACTCTCTGAGCTCCAAATGCATAGTCAATTGCCTACTTGACACACCTCCTCTTGGATGCCCACAGGCAAGCAAAGTCACAGAGTTTATTTTTTGAAAGGATAAATAAAAAGAAACAAAGGAATCAAAACAACACACATCCACAAACGAAAAGCATAGCTATTTAAATCTTTTTTTAACAAAGAAATTTGTTTTTTATTTAAGTTTTTTTTTTTTTTTTAATTTTGAGAGAGAGCACGAGAGGAAAGAGGTTCAGAGGGAGAAGCCGACTCCCTGCCGAGCAGGGAGCCCGATGCGGGACTCGATCCCGGGACTCCAGGATCATGACCTGAGCTGAAGGCAGTCGCTCAACCAACTAAGCCACCCAGGCGCCCATAGCTATTTAAATCTTAAGCTCAGTACATGACACCACCACCAAGCCATCCAATTCTATAAGCCAGAAGCTTAGAACCATTCCGGAGGGCAGAGGGACCAAAAATACCTCACAAACAAGTAAGACTTGGGGCACATGGTAAGGACTTTAGAGGAGAAAAAAAAATGTTGAAAGAGATTAGAGACGCAGAGAGAGGAGATGTGGGAGGACTTGTGCAGCTGTGGAGGCCACAGGAGACCTCTGCAAGAAGTAAGACATTGCAACAGGGCCCAGAATGAGGAGAGCACTCAGTCACGGGAAGAAACTGGACTGCGGGGGGGCATTCCAGGCAGAGGGGTAGATGCAGAAGCCCCAAGGCAGAAATGAGTTCAGTGTCTTCCAGACACAGAAAAAATGCCAATGTGGCCAGAGTACAGCAGATTAGGCAGACGCCAGATGGAGGAAGGCCTGGCAAGCCACGACAGAGTCTGCATTTTGTTCTAATGGCAATCTATCCACAGAAAGCCGCACACCTACTCAAAGAACCTTGGGAGTGAATGTTTACTTAAGAATTTGCTCATTTAACAAATAGTAATGAACATCTGTCTCATGCCAGGTATTCTTCTAGGTGCTAGAATAAATTGTTGGAGGGCAAGGATGGAAGCTAGGAGGATAAAAATAGAAACCTTTTGCAATAATCCAGGAAAGAGATGATGGTGGTTTACTTAGTCCGGGGTGGTGAAAGTATAAAGTGAAGTGTGCTCTTATCCTGGAAACATTTTACAGTACAGTTGCCAGGATATTTTGATTTTCATTGGATTGAAAACACACACACACACACACACACCTTAGGGAAATCAGCTATGGTCAAAGGAGTAAGGCAGATTTCATGATTCAGTCAAGGCAGGAGTGGATAAGGAGGCCACTCTCATTTCCAGTGTATCATAAGCAATCAATAACTGGGATCTACTAAGGCAGTTCATTCATGCAAACAAGTATCTGGGTTCCTACTGTATGTCAGGCACTAGGAGGTGGAGATTTGGTGATAATCTGTTAACTCACGAAGGTCTTACAGGGGGAAAACAACATAAAGGAATTCCATACAGGTACTAAGAGAAGCACATGGGGTACTGGGCAAAGAGTTGTTTACTTCAAGTGGGGAGGATCACTCGCTTGGTTTTCTTCTGAGCCTTCCAGCTGCTCCTTCTCACCCTCCTTTGTTCATTCCATCTTGTCAACCTCTAAATGTTCAAGGGCTCCAGGCCTGGGTCCTTGGACCTCCTCTTCCTCAGCACTCAATCACCCACTAGGATCCACCACCCATAGTCTGGGTGAGGTCATTTGTGTCAAAGCCTTAAATCCCCAAACATCTGGGCTCTAGCCAGGTTTCTTTCCTCAACTCCAGATACTTATATTTACTGCCCACATTTACATTATCTACTAGTAATATCAAGTTAAAGTGTTTGAATCAAACTCCTACCGCTTCCCCATACACCAGCTCCTCCTGACATCTTCCTTTCTCAGTAAATGGCAACATGCTCCAGCTGCTCAGCCAGAAACCTCGGTGTCACCCATGATTGGCTTCCCCACTCATGTTCTGTATCTGATCCAGCTACAAAGTCCTTGCCTCTGTCTTAGAAATATATCCAAACTACACTACGCTTACCACCTCCACTGCTACAGTCCTGGTCTAACCTACCATCTTCTCTCCTTGGATGATGTATTAGTGAGCATTCTCCAGAGGAAAAAAACCAACAGGATGTGTGTGTATACAGAGAGAGAGAGAGAGAGAGAGATTTATTTTAAGGAATTAGCTAGGCCAGCAGGCTAGAAACCCAAGGAGAAGTTGCAGTCCGAGTCTAAAGGGATTTGGCAGAATTCCGTCCTGTTTCAGGAGGTCAGTCTTTTCTCTAGCCATGTCTTCAACTGATTTGATGAGGCCCACCCACAATTCGGAAGGTAATCTGCTTTACTAAAAATCCATCAACTTAAACGTTTTCATTCAAAAACCACCTTCACAGAAACATCCAGAATCATGCTGGGCCCAATACAGGCATGATGGCCCAACCAAGCTGACACATAAAGGTGATGTCAAAGATGATACCAAGAGACTCTTCCCTGATCTCCCTGCTTCTGCCCTAGGCCCGCTCCAGTCCATTCCACACAGCAGGGGTAGTTAAAGCCTTAAGTCATGTCACAGCTCTGCTCACAACCCTAGAGTGCCCTCCAATGGTTCCCCAGTAGCCTCAGATGAAGTAGAAAGTCCTCCCTGATTTCAGGGACAGTTCTGGACCCAGCTCCATTCCCTCTGAGCTCCCCTATTCTCTCTCACATAGCTACTCCACTCCAGTGGCACACAGATAGAGAACACTTCAATGGCAAAGTGACCTACCAAACTAAATCTGTTAAACAGATAAGAAGGTCTTTAAAAAGACATGGCCTTTGTGAGTGAACAGAAAATA